CGGGATTCAGTTTAACATGGCCCACTCCTTACTAGAGGGAAGAGGAGCAGATGGCTTGGTGCAGATAAGTGGGCAAATTCTCATGCAGTTGGCAGAAGCTCACGTGAATCATAGCCACTGTGTACGCAGCAATGTGTTCATCCACAGAATCCAAGGGAGCCAGATCTGAGATTGCTCGGCAAATTAGCTGAGGCAAAACAGATGAGCACTTGCTGAGTCTGGAGTCTGAAAATAATGCACGTGTTGGATGGCAAGAAACACCACATTGTTTTCTGCATCTCTGGTTTTTAGCCTGTGCTATTTCCCAGTCAAGGTTGGCAGGCCCTAGGCTTTTGTTTCATTGACCTTTTTTTTTTTAGTCTTGCCTCAGTATTGCTTTAAAAGGCCTGGATACTGCATATAGTATTTTCAATTTTCCATCTGAACAAAGGAAAAATCAAGGACATTTTGTAGAGACAGTGAGAAGCATGGTTTCTTCCGCCTAGTAAAGAATCAAAATCACTTACTAAATGCTGGAATGTATAATCTACTTGGGTGCATGCAACTTTGAAAGGAGGAAAAAAGTGAAAGAAATTAATAGCACCGAGTAGCAAAGAATATCACATACTCTGCAAGAGAATCCTCATGGTTCTCTGCAGCTCAGTCTGTGCTCCACTGGGGGCACAGTCAAGTACTTTATGTTATGGGCAGGAACCTTATAATACAACATTCATAAAAGACTCTAACCCTGCTATGGATATGGTTGGTTTAGCATCCATGCTGAGGCCCTGGGGTGGAACAGAGCAAGTTGTTCCAGGCACTGCTAATCAGGACCTCTGAGGCACAGATTGCTCCCCTGACGCTGTGCAGGTCCAGTGCTTCTGCCCTGTGTTCACCGCAGTCATTGCATTAAAGATCTCCTGTGATGTACTCGGGCTGGGAGTCCTTCTTTGGCCAAGGAATGGGTGCCGTGCTGTTAATGTAGTTGTTGAAAACAAAGGCAAATCAGCATCTGAAGCACACAGCAATGAGTCTGCCAGCACCTCAACGAAAGTCAGGAACTCGGCTACAAAGAAGGTAGTGATATGCAGGGATAATGACTATTCAAGTAGAATAACCTTTGAGATAGCACATGTATAAAGGGGTAAAGGAAAGCAGGCTCCTAGAAATGGGGAGGTAGGGAAGCATATTTCTGAAGGAACTTCAGTCAGAAAGGGATGTGGACAACTGAACCCTCCAAAAAGTGAACCTGATTACAAGTCTCTTCAAAAATAAATAAATAAATTTTAATAAATAAGGCCACAATAGAAATCCTGCGAATGACTAGCTGCTTTGCATTGTAGTGCCAAGGCATTTTTAATTTAGCAGTGTATGACCTGAAATCAGATTTGTTTTCTTGTGGAATCATAACCCTTTTAGACAATAAGTAAAATTCCTATTACTCCCTTTGTCTGGACAAAGCATGTTGTCTTTTGCTGTTGTTGTTTTTCTGTCAATCCAGAATAATCAAAAAGCTGTATAATTTTTTTTTTCCCCTTCCATGAAGTATATGATTTGAAAACTATGACTTTAAAAGGCATCCTTCACTGGAATGTATTGAGATTTCTGCCTGTTCAGGAGTATATTTGGCATACTTAAAACTTTAAAGCAAATTGCTTAAAGTAACTCGATTTTTATATTGAGATCAAACACCACAGCTCCATAGAGCTCCACATTGTTTCAGCCAGTTCATATGATAATAGTGTCATCCCACCACATGAAATGCCATTCATAAAGTCATATGCTTTCTCTGTCATCAGGTTGCACTAACTGACCTTTATTTTCTTTCACAAATGGGTAGCACCCATTAAGCCACACACCTATGCATATTCAAAATAAGATGCACTGTTTCCTCTTTTTCTGCGTATTTCAAGATCAGCGCATGTCTTCGGTGTCATTCACTGAAGACTTTAAGCTACCTGTAGGCTGTCAGTGAAAGGGCCACCTCACCGCAGTCCTCATCTGACTGTGCCTGCCGCCATTCATATATTGGCCTTAACATGGGTAACCAGATCAGGGAGCTGATCCAGCTGAAAACTAACCCAGCAAAAGAAAAATCCTTGTAGTATCTGGTCTAATAATCTAAATTTCAAATTAAATCATTTTCTAGCAGCCACTAATCAGTGGAGAACCACTAACCTACTGGGTGAGAGGGGGCAGCTTTCTGTGTCCTTGTGCCATTGTTTGCTCTTCCTCTTTTTCTGCTTATCATTCATATTTAGATTATGAGCTCCTCAGGGCAAGAACCATCTCCCCAGTGTATTTGCATGGTGTGGTCTAAATGTGCAGGTATAAGTGTACGGCAAATCAGATATAACAATGATAATAACCCAGGATCTTCTTTAATATTAGCTGATAGGATATCTTAAAGACAAAATGTTACCGTGACGTTAAAGGTTTTATGTTTGGAGTCTCCTACAAAATGAACAGGATCCACAATTAAGGTCCCAGTTCCTCAGTTTTTCCAAAGTTGAATATTGCAACACAGGGTAAAAACTACAGGTCCAATTGTCCTTTCACTTACACTCTTTATACCAAACCGTAAGTACACATTAACATGGGTGCTGTTCCATCAGTGGCACTGAAAGGAAGATGAAGCCCAGTGATTTCTGAAACTTTTACAGCAGCCAGAAAAGTCACACAGATAAGGTGAGTTAATGATGAAGAGAGAAATGGCTTTTAACACAGCTATGGTTCTAAGTCCTGTGGTATGTTTAAGCATGTTAATATTGTGCATATTTATAAGTATGTTACATGAGAAACATTTCAGATAAATTATTCAGTGGCTGGTATTTCGTAGAGGATAAGGACTTAAACTTTTTTTCCCCCTCCTCTTTTAGCTATACCAGTAGAAACTGCCAAACAAAATGCAAACATTGCTTTGGTTCTGACTTCGTGCGGAGGCCATATTGGTTTTCTGGAAGGAATATGGCCAAGGAAGTGCACTTACATGGACAGAGTCTTCAAGCAGTTTGTGCAAGCTATGTTTGAGCATGGAAACAAAATCTTTAGCATGTAGCTTTGGACCAGTATTATAGCACAGTGGCACATTCTGACAAGGGCAGTTAAGCTTAATGCACAAATTTTAACTCCTGTAAGCCAGCAAATGGATAAAGTCCATTACTACATGCAAAAATATTTTTTGCCTAAGATTTTGTAGCAAGAAACTAAATATTATGTTGTCACTTTTATATTTATTTTTAATATGCCTTACTAATAATGACCTTAAATGAAACAGCAGTCTGCATACATCAAATTGCACTTAACCAAAACCATCAAGTAAACATTATAATTCCTCAGGATTTTAAACCAGTACATATTTAGGAGACTTAATTTAGATGGCTTTTAATATTGGAATGGCAACACTTAAAATATCATATGTTATCCAGTCACATATAGTAAGTACAAGTTGGCCCATTCCTTAGGGCACTGATGGTGGAAGTCTTAAAATAACGAAAATAAAAGAATGAGGGAACACAAAGAAGCACTGGTTCTTCAAATAAGTCAAAATTTCAGCATGTTATTCCATAGCATTAGATTGATATCTGCTTTTGCTCTTCTACCCTGAGAGTATTCAGATTTAGGGCTAGTTATTGTTTTTTAAGCTATGTCAATGCCATACTTGTCTTACATGATTATTTTTTAAACAGCTAATTTATAGTGTTTACATATAACCAAAAGATTCCTTTAAAGCAGTACTGTAATAACTTATGTAATTAAAAGACATCTTGCATTTCAAAGTTCATGTATAGCTGGGTGTTGTCATATATGAAATACATACTTCATATAACTGGTAAACTGGATAATTCTACTGTTATGTTTATATTACCCTGCAAGAACATTTCAGTTTTAAAGAATAATCATTAGAACATCAGGAAATTATGATATAATCTGCTTTAAATTAAAAAAAAAACCCACACAAACCAAAAAAGATCTAAACCCTTTGTCTCTGCTATTGTTTCAGATAATTTCTAAAAGGAATGTAACAAACTGTTTAAAGAAAGCTGGGAGCTAGGGTGGGCAGTTGGAGCCCCATCTCTCTGGTTTGTTTATTTGATGATTTGTCAGCACTTTGGCAATAGGTTGTCAAATCATTGAAGACTTTGTGAGCAGGTTTCTGCCCTAGCAGCTTATGAGTTTGTGAGGCTGATGGAGGCATCACTGTTCTCCCCAGCCCTGAAACAGTGACAGCCAACGTGAGATCCTTGAGGAAAAAGGACAGTTGGACAAAACGTATTTTGAAACTGTTGAGAAGTCCTAATTTAGGGTATACTGAAACTGAAAAAGGCTTTTAACCAGCTTCTGTGGAGCTCCCACCTCATGCTGATCACCGATTTGGTCCCAGCCACACAAGATAAGGCAGTAAAGATGCCTCTGCATTTTTATTTTTATCTTTTGAGTGGGGTCAGTACAAGAAGAAAACACGGATAAAAAAGCAAGTCAGGTCTTTTGTCTCAAGCAGTACGTGCACAGCCCTCTTGCAAGGCATGTTTCCTAGTAACAGCAAAGGAAGAACAAAAATAGTTTTTGTCTTCAGAAAAAGAAATTGGGACATGCTATAAGCAAGCTAGTTTTGTAAGGTGGAAGGTTAAATTAAAAAAAAATTAGAAAGTGCTTTCAGGTTGTGACTTTTCAGACAAGCATTGGCCCTTGCCCAAATAATAAAATCTAACTTATTTTTTCTCTAATAAGGAAAATGAGCAAAGTGACTTGTAAAAGCAAAATGAAATTTTGTGCATGTTACTACAATACATGGGTAGGGTGCCTTATTTATTCTTGCATTCATTTCCAGTTTTTATGTTCATACAAAAACAATAAGCAATAAACAGTGTATTGAGCATTATATTTGTAAAATTGTTTGGGTACAGAACTATTAAAAACTCAGCATCAAGTATTAATAAAAATAAAACCACTTACATTAAATAACACGTTACTGTTTAAATAAAAGTAACATGATTAATGGCAGAATTTCTGTCTCGTTGCACTGTCTTATTTCATTTAGGTCCAATCCCATATACATAGCCACATGAGACATTTCTCTTTAAAGCGATGTCTAGCAAATGTCTATAAAGCAGGGTTCTTTCCCCCCAAATGTAGAGTGTTTTTCCTTACACCCCATTAAGGAAAATGCATTGTTCAAAGCACAGTGTGCAAAGTGGCAACAATCAAATTTTACTATGGGTATCTTCAAGCTTTCCCAGTCAGATTTTCTGAAACATATCATGCAGAGACTTACCTCAGTTCTTGCAGGGGGGACACAAGCTAGCAAGAAGTGCTATAAGCATTTTTGCTATGTAATACGTTTGTAGCTTGAATAGAGAGTTTCACCAGTGAGCCACAATACTGATTCCAGAATGTGCCCTCTATTCCAAACGGTGTGAATTCATAGGGTCTTTATTTGGCTCTTCATGTGATCTGAGTATCCAGACAGCAACATATTGGAGGTGAGAGAAAATCATTAGTTATCAACATACTCGTTACTGGGAAGATGGAGTATAATGAAAATGAAATTCCAAGTCACAAAGGTTGGGGAGACCTCTTGAAAACTTTCTTCCTAGTCAGAATCACATAGTAGTTGAAGTTGGAGGGGACCTCTAGAAATTGTCTAATTTCTAAAGGAGTCCAATCCCCCTGCTCAAAACAGTACATGCTACATACATACTCCAGAACATCCACCTCTTCTCAGTTTGCTCTTGGAGTCAATGCAAGGGACTGTTCTTTTTATCTCTGAAGCCTTCAGGAACCATTTGTTATCTTAGCTGACTTACTACCAGGTCATAAAGACTGAGATTTTAAGGTGTAATTTATTATGTCCACTCTTCACAAATGGACTTAGAAAAACTGAAAATTTCAAATAGAAAAATGTGGTTCTATGAATGCAGAGAAACTAACCCATGGTATACATTTCACACTGAACAAAAGAAGGATTAATGTTCTTTTTTGAAACCAGGACATGTGACAGCACCGTTTACAAGACTTTGCAGAATGAGCTATGGAGAACAGTCTAAACTCTACAATCTAAACTCGACCTGGTGTCGAGAAAATGTCAATAAAGTGCTAATGACTCCAGGCAGGTCTTCATAGTCCTGTCAGTATGGCACCGAGTATCACGCTTCATGCATTAACATGCTAAGTGTTACAGAGTGTGATCACTCCGAGGCCTAAACTGACCATTACAGAGATTGGAAAAGGGCTCCATTTTAAAGAATTACTCCCCAGAGGCGATTCAGAAAGCTTCTCCTTACCTCCTCCCTGCTGCAAGTTGCTATTCCCAACTGAGATCTAGTAGTCAACTGTTTCAGCCCTTCAGGTCAACAGAATGAAGCAGCTTGCTTATCTCAGCAGTTCCCAAATGTTTCAGACCACAGCCCCCTTCCCTTTTTCTGTAATTATCTGGACCCCTACGCACCACTCGCACACATTCATACATACATACATACATACCCGCTGCCTGGCCTGGCCCCAAATCTCTGCCAACCAACTGCCAGCCTTCTCTCCAGATGTAGCTATCTACAGCCCTTTCTATCCCTGCTCCCCTCATCCCCCCCAAAAAATCTCATGTTCAGCATGCGAGAAAAATGGACAAGTCCCAACCCAGTTTTTTTTCCTGCCTCCCTGCAAAAAAAACCCACCAAAACAAGGCAAAAACCACAACTGTGACACCCCCCCACCCCCAGTACCCTCCATTTTCAACATGGGCCCCCTGTTCTCTTAGCTAGATCCCCTGTAAAGCTCTTTAGCCCCAGGCAGACTGGGCACCCTCCAATCCCTGTCATCCCACGTGCCATCTACACAGGAATCTCATATGGGAACTGCCTCTTTCACCTACAACTCCTACCTGGCTGATGCCAATGACTCAGACTTGCCAGGAAGAGGACTTTTAGACCTGGAGCTCATGAGCAAGCACACCGTGCCCTCTCCAGGCCGCTTCAGCTCAACGCACCATCACCCTGTGAAACGAGGAAACATTTGTTCCCCAAGTCACGCAGTTGCCATCACGCACAGGTACCCTTCAGCCCGAGCCACGTGCAGTGGTTCTCATACCAGGGTGCCAGATGGTCAAAAAAAATGCTTGAGGCAATGAAGAAGAAAGAAGGAAGGTATAAAAGAGCCCAAGAAAATCTTCCTGGGGCTTTCCAAACACCTCCAGCATACAAGCTGGATCCTCTTCCCACAGTAGGCTAGTGGTGCTTCTTGCCAGCCAGGAAAGTAACTCCCTGCAGCCAATCTGCTGCAGAATATCCCAGCCATGGTTTGTGGTTTGCTTTTTTTTTAATTTTCTTTCCAACAGAGGAAAAGGAAAAATCTGCCAAAAGCACCAGCAGCCACAACAGTCAGCAGTTCTTCATTAGCAAACACCTCTTCCTCTGAGGATCCCATTTTCCTGTCTCTTTCTTTCTACTGGAGACACAAAAATCCAGCCTCTCCCTTCTTTCTGGATGAGGGTAGAGGGACTTTTTGAATCTGCTGAACAGATGGAAATCAGGGCCCTATGCTGCCTCAGCTGCTCTTCCAATTCCTTAAAGGATCTATAAATTTAATTATTAGAAAACCACTAGTATAAATCAGCTTCACATGTGGCCTTAGCTAACCTATCTGAGGCATTCTTCTGAAAGCACTAGGAGTGCTTGCAGGGTTCATTGCAGCTGAGAGGTTTAAGCAGCTACTGCCTCTTGATTGTCAGTCCTCGATCAGATGAGATGCCTGATAAGCAGGAGGGCAAGTTGGAAGTGTATTACCCTGTCAAATGGGGCTGCAAGGTCTGTGTGCTAGCAGGACTGCTGTGATTGAGCTTGGGCTCAAGAGCTCAATCCTCTAACTACGTAGCTGGCCCTAAGGCTGCAGTTTCACAAGCAGCTGCCAATATTAACAGCTCCCTCGCGCCAAAAGGGGAAGGCTCGCACTTCCTCCTCCCCTGCCTCTTCTTATCCTCCCTGATTCCAGTCATATGGTCCTCAGCCATTCTTGCTCCAGCAGAATATGACCCAGTTTTTCCACTGAGTTAATTTTTTGCTGGCTCAGTGAGTTAAATTTGCTTGCCTACAAGGGGTCCCCCCTCAGGTGCTAGAGAGAGGGTGGCATGAGGTAAGGAGTTGGAGCACATTGTTGAGTAGGG